TTATATATATATATATAATGGCATATATATACACATATATACATATATAATATCACATATGATTAATAAAATATTAATATATATATACTAATACTATTATAAATATTGTATATACTTATATATACTTATTTATTTATATATTTATTTATAATATAATATATAGTAATAGTATATATAATATATGTTTATATATGGTATAAGTATATACAAATAATATATACATATATGTAAATATTAATAACATATATATGCATAATATATACATATACCATATAATAATATAAACATATCTATATAAACACAAATATTACTACAGCATGATATAATATATATATATCATTAATAATATTATAATATATATATATAATATATATTATATGTATATATATATATGTTTGTGTTGTGGTGTGTGTAATATATATATATTTGTTGTGTATATATATTATGTGGTATATATAGTATATGTGTGTTATATAGTATATATATATGTATATATATATACTATAATGATATTATATATGTATATATATACATATATATAATATATAATATATACAATATATAATATAATAATAAATATTATAAATAAATATATATATATATATATTATGTAATATACTATATATATATATATATTATAATTTATTATATATTTATATATATATATTTATATTTTATTTAGATATATATATATCTGTATCTATATGTTATATGTGTATGTATATGTATATATATATATATGATATATATATATATATGTATAATATATATATACATGTTATATAATACATATATATAATAAATAATATATTATATATATATATATATAGATATATACTACTAATTATATAGATATACTTATTTAATATATATATTTGCTGTATATATATAGTGTATAATATTGTATATGTATTAGCTATAATATACATATATAAGCATATATACAGCATATATATATATTAAACATATATATAACAGTATATATGATATATATATACTATGTATATGTATATATTGTATATATAGATACATATTATAATATAGTATATAATATATTATATAATACATATAATATAATATATATATATATTATATATACTTATATAATTATAGTAGATGTGTATATATATTATATATATAAATATATATAACCATATATAACATATATATATACATATATATACATATATATATATATACATAGTGTATATATATTATATATAGCATATATATATAATGTGTATATATAATATAAAGTATATATATATACACACATTATATATATATGTATATATATGTATATATATATATACATATATACTATATGGATATACACATATATAGATATATACTATATATACATATATATATCATATGTATATACATATAGTATATATACTGTATATAATATATATATATATATAAATATATATATATATATTATATATATATATATATGTAATGCATATGTATATGATGTGTGTGTATATATCTATATATATATTATATATTCAATATACATATATATATATATATATATAGTATATATGTATATATATATTATAATGTAATATATATATGTATATATATATGTGTATATATGATATATAGTAATATATATATATATATATATTATTGTGTATATTATGTATATATTATTATAGTTAAATTATATTATAATTTAATATTATAATAGTTATATATATTCTATTTATATAATATATATATATATATTATCATATTTATATATATTATAGATTTTATATATATTTATATATTGTATCCTATAAATTTATATGATATATATAACTACTATATATATATTATATTTATTTATTTATATTTATATAATATGTTGTATAATTATATGTATTTAATGTATATATCTATATATATATTTATATGTTTTTTATATGTTTATATAATATAAATTATATATATATATTAGTATATATTATGTTTTTTACATATTTGTTTTATATATTTTTATATATTTTTTATATACTATATTTGTATTCTATAGTATTTATACTAGATATATATATAATAGAATATAGTATAGTATATTTATTATATAATTTTATATGTTTATAAATATATATACTAATATATATATTATATATAGTATTATGATACTATTTTTATATAGCATATTATATCTATGCATTATATATATATTAATTATAGCATTATATATATATTATATATACCATTATATATATATATATTATATAGCATTATATATATCGTAATATTAATATATATTATATATAAATTATATATATATATTATATATCGTAACATTATATATATCTAATATATATTATTTTAAATATATATACGAATATATTATATGTATATATTATATATATTAACTTTATATATATACATATATTTATATATATAATCATATATATATAAGTATTATATATAGTATAAATTATACTATAGCAATATATTATTTATAGTATATATATATACTATATTATATATATATATA